TGTATCAGGTGTCAAATGACCAACTTCATGATAATTCTATGATACACATGGGCATGACGAACTGGAACGACTAAAATTTGTGACATGAAAGGCAACTGAAAGTTATCTATCCAAGTAAAAGTAGACGTCGTCGCGTTCTCACATGAGAGCTGCGTCGTACTTGTTCTGGGAGAATGTTGCCCCGCGCCCCACTACGTCATGAATTATCCCGCATTATCCAAACTCTTTCAACATCATCATGCTTGGCTTGTCAGCTTATCCCGCAATTTATCTCTGCATTCTGATCAGCACAATCATCACTCTATTGTCTTACTTCACTCCCCTAGCAGTTCAAATCTCACAATGGCTCTCACACCAGACCCCACAATACTGCAACGCTGCGTCGAGCTTGCAAGAGAAGCCCTCGAAGCCGGCGACGATCCCTTCGGCTCCGTGCTCGTGAGCGGAGATGGCAAAATCATTCGCGAAGACCGCAATCGTGTAAACACCGGCGAGAATGGAGACGGGAAACGCGATGGGACACTGCACCCGGAATTCACCCTCGCGCGTTGGGCGCAACTCAACCTTAGCGCCGGGGAACGGGCCAAGGCTTCGGTGTACACTTCCGGCGAGCACTGCCCGATGTGCGCTGCGGCCCACGCCTGGGTCGGACTTGGACCCATTGTCTACGTGTCTTCGAGTGCGCAGTTTTCTGGTTGGCTCGAGGAATTTGGGTTGAAGGCGGGTGCCAAGGTCAAGCCACTTCCTATCAATGATGTTGCGCCGAGTATTGCGGTGCAGGGTCCCATTCCCGGCCTGGATGAGGAGGTCAAAGCCTTGCACAAGAGGAGGTTCCAAAAGTCATCGTAATGAGAACAAGGCCACTCGAGACTCACAGGGTGGGTAGTCGAAGAGCATGATACATCACGTAACGGAAATTATCACTCGCGTGGCCGAAAGACGAGGAAGCCGTCTATCGATGCGGCAGTGTGAGTATCTCAGCGATATAAGAATGTTTCTTCTATTCTCCGACTATATATATGTATGGGCTATCCACCACATGCACCCTAGGCTTCGGGTAATCGCAAGACTCGTGTTTGTCTGACTAAAGCGCCTTCATCACCAAGGTACCGTCCGCTCTCGTAACTGTGGTGAAGGTCAGTGACTCCGTGATGTGAAAAGTGCTTAAAATCAGGAGACACGAACCTCCAATGAAGATTGCCAAGGGCGACATCACGACAGCCATCAAGGTACCGAATGACCTCCTGATCGACCTTCTCTCCGCAGATTGGCATCTTCGATAAAGCCAGATACCAATCGCGATAGCATTCATCGATCATGTCTCCGATCTCGTCAATAGCCTCCTGAGTAGAGTGCCCCTGAGATTTCAACAAAGCAATCAAGTTGTGCTGTACACCTTGTTCCTACAAGGGTCATTGTCAACAGTTAGTCGGATTTGAAATTGGCACCCGACTTACCAAATCCTTGCGATATGATAAGATGTCATTGACACTGTGTGAGAGTTAGCCAACAATCATCGCCTAACACCATGCCAACCTACAGAATGACTAGGTCGGCGGAAATACGTCTGCACTCTTGCAAGCTCTCGTGGTCTATGACATTTGAAGGCACATTAATGCCGTGGCAAAATCTGCAGATCGTGCGGTCAGCCTACGGTTCACTTATCTATCCTTCGGGAAAACACTCACTCAACCAGTACATAAGATGGCTGACATCCGATAGTTCCTCTTCGGAAGCCCATGTACTCCTCGATAGTGAGAGCCATGGCGGACTTGGAGCTTTGAACTCCAACTTGACTCAGCAGGCCGGAGAAGTAGTATCTGATGGAAGCTTTATAACGCTCCTGCAACTCTATGATGGTTGTGTTAGCAAACTTAAGTTTTTGGCCTACATTCTGGAAAGCATAACAGTGTTGCAAAGTGTTCACTACCTTTCGTAGATCTCTGCATGTAGGAGCGCGACTGTCAGCAATGTACTATTGACAGAAATGGATGCTACAGTACAATCATAGTAAAGTCGGAGGACAAACCTTTTTGAACCGATCCCAGACAGTTTGAAAGATATATCTAATTGGGTTGTCATAAAGCTGGACTGGGGCTTGGTTGTCTTCTAGCACCGCAAAAGTGGCATGCAGCTCCTCTACTGCCTTAATAGGGTCGTCTTTCAGATGGCCTTCATCAAACTCTGTCAAGAGTCAGCGGGCTCAGACGAAGTAATGTTGTCATGGTTTACTCACGGTCATCAAATGCAAAGACCTTGCAATTACATTAGCTCAATTTTAGCCAACAAAATGATCACTGATTGGAGTGCGACGTACCCAATTGTTCCAATCGATCATCGTTCGATATGCCTCTTCATCAGCGTATGGGACCCACATCGCATTCATGAACGCGAAGTTAGCTTGAACGTTTCTTCGGGCTTGAGCTTCACTGAGACTAAGGATCCTGTGACCATTCCATGTTAGTGTTGCTCCGGAAATGGTTCTCTTCAAGATTTTTACTAACGTGGCAATCCAACTATCTGCCTCTCTCTTTACTTTGTCGTAATTGACGTTGATGACGGGCTTCACAGACATGATCGAAGAGAAAAAGTCTGGAATACGGACATAGTTGGCATTTACCTCGTCGGAGTTGATGCCAATATGGGACCGTATGTCCAACGTGCTTCCCGCTTCCGAAGAGACAGTGAAAGCCTGAGATGAAGAAAGCGAGTCTGTGAAAGTCGAATAGGAAGAGACTGGGGAGCCTGGCGACATCGTCGACTCTCCATCGTCATCAACGTCGAAGTGGATTGGATCCACTTGACTGTTTTCAGACATGCTGGGTACGCCGTCAAAGTCGTTTCCAACGCCCGTTTGCGGGCTTCCGAAGAGGGAAGACTCTGGAGAGATCATTCTAGCTTCAATAAGAAAGGCTTAGGAGTGAGTCTTGTAATCAGTTTGAAGGAGGCTTGAAGGACTGAAGATGGGGTGAAATGGACAACGATGAAGGACGGAACATGCTGTTTTTCAGTTCAACCAAAGATATCCACACTCTTCGCCCGGTTGGTTCATCAGTTCAAGCGACAGTCGAAAATTCCCGCCACCATCCTCCGACCTTTCGCATCGTGACGATTTGGCTATGGGTCTTCAAGACTTGTCGTGCCGTATCGCTGCCCGGTTCTACGAGGGTCGTCTACCCCGGTTCCTGTTGCCTCCACAGTCCAGCATCCACCACACCAAAAGAGACTTGCAACTGTGCCGCAAGACTTCAGCCCGGCTAGACAATAATTTTTGTTTCTGTCAAGAAAGGATTCGTCATCTTCTCCGTCCTTATCGGCAACTCCGTCGTGGGAAACCTCTCGTGAGATTCGACTGTCTCGGACGTGTCAAGTTGTTGTGAGTAAGATCAGCTTCTAGTTGAGCAAACATGTCTCAGCTTCTGCACAATTGTCTCTTCCTGGAATCATTTCTATACTGTTTTAATTTACACAAAAAGGAAGTCTCGACTTGTTCAATGTCGCGATCCAGTGAGACAGATGTGAATCGAGGAACACTTGACCTAGAAACTGGGCTTTCTCGTAGAAGAGCAAGTAATGCCGATTAGAGTCCGCGAATGAAAGCTTGACATCATTGAATACGTGTACTTCGTTAGCTTCAGAAAATCCTCACGTTGGAGCGGTCCATGCTTCATATGTCTGTTTAACCGAGCGTTGTGTACAAGCTGACGAAACATTCTACTGTGAGCTATCCAAGGTGGCTCTATCCCGCCGGCTAGAGAACTGATGGATGTTCCAGAAGAAAAGATAGCCCGTAGTTCCATACATAGTATGAGTTCTTACGGAAGTCAAGTATCCCTATCAACGCCTTTCAAGGATTCTAGCCTTTGGAGCACAAAATGATGTCTGGCCCTGCTTCTAATTCAAAGAATCGTTGCCCAAAGAAGTTTAGATTTCCATGCCAGCACATATGGATTATCATTAAATGCCAAGTGGAATATACATTACATTAAATCTCGTCTTCTGGCCCTTGCCGATGCTCGCAAAGTCCCCATATTATCGCATCATCGCTTGCAGACGTTCAACGACCGGCCTGTCCAACGAGTCTGTAAGTCACCGGAGTTATGATTCTTCAACTTGAACCCCTGTTCAATTCCCAGGTACCAGGGGTTGAACCCATCAACTTGGTGTTGGTTCAACTTGTCATGACCCGCTTATCAGTCAAGACAGTAGTAGACAGGGGCTTTATCGGCCTTCTTCCGCGCTGGGAAAAGCGATCATCTTCGAGGAAAAGTCAAACGCCACAGGCAGAAAACTCCACAGGTGTTTGCTTTGTGGCGTCAGCTGAAGTAGGTTTACATGGGTGTTCAACTAGTTGATACTGATTAGAGTGATTCCCCGAACTTTCTGACTGGGTACTGGATATTGCGGATAATCGGCCCACATCAGATTGGGCGTATTGTTTGCTTGCTAAATGTGACACGCACCCAATCATTCTCATACACGTTGCCATCCCTCCGGATGCCTTGATAGATGTGTGTTGAAGAGCGGTTGAATCGTCTCGAAAGAAGGCTTCGCCCTGCGGGGATTGGGTGGGCTTTCCAATGATCGCTGGGTACATGACCCGTACCAGATGGAGTTCGCTGAGTTGACAAACATTGCTTGGCCTGCTACGCCGCGTGACCGCCTCCGCGCGACAGGGGGCGCTTAGATCTGGCAGCAAACAACGGTGATTTTCCTTACATTTCTTTGTTGGACATCTACAGACTAGGCGATCCAGAAGCTCAGCACCGTCAAACTGATACATGGTGGCAGAAACAACATCTCAAGTCTGTCTTACCCAAAACTCACCAGAATCAAGGGCGATAATAGGGCTTTGCCCTCAAGATCCATCAGAAGATAAGGAAACTTCGAGATATCCCTGAACATAAGAAACAAGTCTCGCGCCATCATCTGGATCGTGCTCGAGAGGAGTCTTCAAGGACCAACCTAGTTGAGCCATCTACGTTTCCTCAATTGCTACAATGGCTCTATTTCAACTGCGCGAGGTTCTTTTCTCGCCAAGAATTCTTGCCCTGTGCTTTTCTGTGTACCTTATAGTTGGTGTTCTCTACAGAATCTTCTTCCACCCTCTTAAGAAGATACCTGGTCCTTGGTATGCGGCCGCAACGTACTGGTACGAATTTTACCAAGATGTGATTCTCAATGGCAACTACATCAAGGAGTACCCTGATCTTCACGCCAAGTATGGTGAGCAAATCTCCGAGATCTACGCAGGCGTTCCTGGCTGTGTCGTTTGCATACTGATCAGTGATGCACTATTCAGGCCCAGTGGTTCGGGTGTCTCCCAGTCGCGTGCACGTTAGTGATCCAGATTACTTCAAAGAGTGAGTTAAGCTCTGTTTATAGTATGACGTCTTTGAGGGAGACTCTGCTTACTCAGTTTATCAGGGCTTACGGAAGTGGCACAAAATATATCAAGGATCCCGACTTCTTCCAGAGCGCTGGTGGTATCAAGCACTCCATCATCATGTTGATTGATCCCGAGGTTCACAAAGAACGAAAGAATACAGTCCAATCCCTTTTCTCGACCAAACATGTTGAACACTTGGCGCCTGTCGTTCTGGATGTTGTGCAGAGAGCAATGGCAAAGGCGCAGCGTGCCCTCAAGAATGACCAGCCGATTAACTTGCAACCATTTTATCAATGCATTACTGTAGGTTATACCTCAGTCCAGCTACATGATCGCAACATCGAGCTTCAGGGCGTTATCTGCGGTCTACTGAGACTGTGATCTTGAGTGCTGAACAGTCTCTAGGTTGACACTATTATGCCTGTCTTGTTTGATAGACAGTTGAATTTTGTTGATTGCGACGAAGACGAGCCACCGTTTTTGAGCTTGTTGGGCAAGTTTGTTGACAAGTTCTTCCTCACTAAGCACTTTCCCTTGATCAGCCACATTGCTATGAGTTTACCTCTCAGTGTAGCAAGGACGGTTTTGCCAAGCTACGTCGCTTTTCGAGAGGTGAGTACAATCATTACAATTCTTCTTACCGTTAATTTCAATATCTCCTGCTGACATTCAAATAGCAATGCGCCACATGGATTAAGGAAGACGAAGAGAAACAGCGCAACGGCCAAAGAATAGCTGATGGTCGCAAGACATATTTCGATCTCCTTCTGGAAGCAGAGAAAACAAAGAGGCTCCACAAGCTCGGCCAAGAGGCACTCGTTGACGAAGCACTGTCTGTGTGTTTTGGTGGAACTGATACCAATAGCATTGCCCTTAGCTTTGGCACATACTTCTTGCTCAGGAACCCGGATAAGCTTCAGAAGATGTTGGACGAGTTGAAAGACGCGCCTACGAATATGGATGGCCTCTATGAGTATCATACTGTTTCCAAACTGCCTTATCTTGTGAGTCGAAGTTGATTTGGAAGGAAAATTCAACGCAGCATACTTATTATCCATGTTTCCAGACTGCAGTCATCAAAGAGATACTTCGGCTGGGATCCCCAGTGCCTGGTATCATTCCCCGCAGAGTCCCTGCCGGCGGCGCTTCCGTCGGAGGACATTATCTTCCGGAAGGCGTAAGTCACAGACCAGACTAGCTACGCGGTGTGCAAAATCACTGACTCTGCGCTTCTTCAAGACCACCGTTTCACAGGCTCTTCGGCTGATAAACGTCAACTCGGACGTCTATTCGGAGCCTGAGAGATTCATTCCTGAAAGGTGGCTTGGCAAAGCCGGCTGGGAACTGGAGAAGTACTTTGTGCCTTTTAGCAAAGGGCCCCGAGCTTGTATAGGCGTGAAGTAAGTTCACATGCTCTCGACCTCACGAGGGGAAACGCGGGCCTAACGTATCCAGCATTGCATATCTTGAACTCTACGTGTGCTTTGCAAACCTTTTTAGCCGCTTTGAGATGGAGCTATTCGAGACGAACGAGAGCACCCTTAAGTGGGTAGACAATGGCGTAACGAGGCTGTTGAAGCCGATGAGAGTCAAGATCAAGTCGATTAGAGGCGTTGGCCAGTGATTCATGGTCGGCAACTGCGATTGCATATATATCTCAAATAAATTTGCTTCGCATTAGACATTAAACGCATTCCCACCCATCCGGCTTCACGGGATCTCCTTGTCCCTTGAACACGTTCCTTGTGGGATATTTACAATGCTTCCTCTGCAGATCGACCTCCCCAGAGGCCGTCAAGCGGCTACCAAGAATGAAATCGGGTGCAACACCCTCCTCAACCCAGCGCACAATCGCCGCCAGTACATTGGCATCTGGGTCGTAGGAGGCGACAGTCTCAGGGTTACCGCCGATCATACTAGCCCCAGTGCCATCGCGACAGTGCGCCATGCCGGATATCCTGAAATACCGATAGAATTCATCCAATTCCTTCGAAGGGAGGTTCATGGTTCGTGACACATGGTTATAGTACCTCTCAGAGTTGTCACTGCTGATCGCATTGTCTTGCATACCGTGGTAATGCAGGATTTTGACTCCACGGTCCTTGGCAGCGGATAAGTCTCCTTCCCACGTCGACACCTTCCACGGGTCTTGCTTAGAAGCAACAGCGTAATCCTCCGGGGTCATTGTAGAAAGGTTCCAGTTTGTATCGTTGTATACAACATAGCGCCACCAGTCCAAGGGGTACTGATGGGGCTGGCCGTTGAGAAGTCGTGCAGTCGCGTTAGAACCTGGCTGTAGTCTGGGGAAGATGTACTGCCCATCCAATCCGTAGACTGGAGAGAAGACGGCCCGCACAGTAGCGGCTTGCTCTCCGCTCAGACAGCTATCAGAAGAGCCGTCGGCGCAAATGAGTCCTTCAGGTCGGTATTGGCACACGCTCGGGTCTTCGAGGATGCCGTCTTCAATACCGTCTAATCCGTCACACTGCTTCAGTATATCGGCATACACCAGCTCCCACTCCGCGGGAGAGAGGAACCGCGAAGTCTCATTGGTCCCCGTCTTGAGGAAAAGTTGGCCAGTCCAGTACATGAGTGCAATCAAATCGAAAGCTGGAGCACCGGCAACGATACCGTCGTAGTCTTCCGGAAAGCTCTGGGCCTCCTTAAACCCCTGTCTACCGCCTGTGGAGCAGCCCAGGTAGTATGACTTGGTGTGCTCTTTGCCGTAGTATTGCTGAGCAATCTCTTTGCCCAATTGAGCTTCAAGATGCACGGCGCGGTAGACGTAATCCTCAATCACTCCGGGGTTGTTGAGGAACGGGGCACCAGACGTTCCGTCGTGGCCGTTGTTGGTGCCAATTGTGGCAAATTGGTGTGTGGCCCCGTAGTTGAGGTCGCCGTATTTGATGCATCCATTCATACCGCCGTTACCAGTGCCCAAGAAACGCCCACTCCATTCTGATGGAAGCCAAGCCTCAAGGGAGATATTGCTTGTCGGACCGGTAGTAGTGACAAAGACAACCCGACAGATATCAACGCTGGAAATTTGAAAGGGGATGGCGCACGACGGGTGGTTATCAGGGAGCGAAATGTTCGTCCCTGCTGTGATGAATGCTGTCTCATGGATTGTCGTATTGGGAAGACTAAGACGGCTCGCTAACGATGCGCAGTCCTCGGGAGTGACAGCTCGGGCTGACCCAACCGCCAACAGGAGTTGAAACACTGAAGAGCGACAACCTCTCATGATTGCGATTACTGATCCAACAATGTCTACACTTGGCACATAGAGGGTAACTCCACGGGTTATTTATTGCCATCTACTTCGTATGCCTCAAAGAGTGCTACTCACTCATAACGCTCTGCGTAACTACCGTGAACTGCTACCGCGCTTATCCGCAGTCCTCAAGGGAATCCGCTCTCATGCTTGTAGCCAGTCTCCTGGGTCCAAATCCCCGCAGACGGATAAAGGCCGGTTGGCAGTCACGGCTTTGTAGTCTCTGCAGAGCTGCTAGATTGACGTACGATGGGGACAACGGAGCAATAGAGTCGATCACCTGCCGTACCAGGCTAAGGATAGTCTGGGGTAGCTGGGCAGCTGGTGGGGAAGAGTTGCTTCTTCAGAGGGGCTGTTGCCGCTTGTTCGAATTAGAGACGCGGGGTAACCAGCCATTTCCCTGCAAAACGACAGCCGTATTCTTGCCTTCTAGTCAGTATGTCGGCGTAATCGACCGGTTACTGACTCTTTCCGGTGATCAAATGCCCCTTACTACAGATGTCATGATGTCTTGCGTGCTCCGGTAAGCCTCGGGCATTGTGAACCTCTCAACCCTGTCCCGCTCTGCTGTTGATACCACGGAAGACTTACGGACCCCGTCCGCAGACTAAAGTTGAGTACGATCGTGCCGACACAAACACTTTGGGAATCAAGCACCCCGGGTTGTTTTTCGGCAACCCAGCACTGACCGTGACTTTGCACCTGTTGAAGACTTGCTTAACAATTGCCTATCGATAGCAGCGTCGAGAAAATGTTTAAGCCTAGCTTGTGTTGCTATTCTGTTCAGTTCATCATTCCAATCCGCCTTATTCCCCGTTCCTTGCAAGCCCTCTTCAAACTTCTCCTCGTGCCTTGCCAGGTAGATCCCTCCAGCTTCCTCTTCGAGTTCCCAATTTTCCTTTGAGAATCTACATCACCGTCATCTTCAGAGGAAGCAGACTCGTCGTCACCCTTATAATCACCATCTCTGCAGTCATCATCAGTCGGGTAATCAGTGTGGTAGTCCGCCTCGTCAGCATTGGTGTTCCCCTCGGTAGCATTCACCAAGAACTCCACTTTCCTCCAAGGCGTTTCCGGAGCTGTGCAGTTCTGACACCTGAAGTCCGGCTGGTTCTCTCTCAGATATGTTTTATCGCAAGCAGGTCGCGGAACCCGCGCGTTGACGTATTTGCATTTCGTGAGCTTGCGGTCGAAAGTGAAGCCGCAGCTGGAGCATTCGTTGTCGTACCAAACGAAATGACACATGATGGGTGACTAGAACGATGCGTTCAGGTAGTCGGGAGATGCTCTGAAACGGCCTGGCTGATTGGTAATGGAACTGAGTCTTGAAACTGAATTTTGGGACTTGTTGCTGGCTACTGCAAGGTGGTGTGTAGAGAATTGGTAAACGAAGCATCAAGTGCGACCACTCGCATATAAACTCCTTGACCTGTTCTCCTTACTGGGAAATTACACTGAATCGCATCCATTTGTTTCACTCAAGGTGAATGACGAGCTCCATTCAAGGTCGGTGGCTTAGATTCTTTGACGTGATTATGCCTTCTTTCATCCCAAAGGAGCCTAACAGTTCGCTAGAGCCCAACTCCCATTCACTCTCCTCGTCGGGGAGAAAGCCACCACCTGCGCCGGTATAAATAGCATCTCTTTGTTCAACCTTCGACCGCCTCGGACCTTTGATCATCAAGCAGAGTTTCAAAGACTCAGACAACAACAATTAATTGTTTCGCACCTCTCAGTCCTGAGAATCCGAGGGTGTAAACAACCTCAACGAATACAACGGCTCTCTCACAAAAGACTTCCTAGAAGGAATATATCTAACTACTAACTTAGCTAGAGAGAAGAATACACTTCCAGCCAAAGGTTCATCTATAACCACCAACCATGTGTCGCCAATTCCAATACAAACTCCTCTGCACCAACTGCGGCCTCGCCTACAGAACCATCCTTGGCGAATTCCAGCAATGCCGATGGTATCACCGTCATCGCTGTGAAACGACGACGGTTAGTGCCGGTCCCATGAGAACTGGCCTATGCCATCATTGTATGCCTCTGGTACGGCAAAGGCATCAACCTCGATGTCAAGATGTTTGCTGCTCTGGGCGCGAAAGAAGACGTGGGCTGAGGTAGATAAAGTATCTTGCTATTCAAGTGGAATAAAAACCTGAACTCTCAATGTCGTGTTTTCATCAGTCATAATTCCGTTTCAATCTCGTGAGTCGTCGACAACAGACCGACAAACACTCCACGCATCCTTTCATCTTCTTTTTCTCCCCAACATTTCCTCGGCGCTACAGGAATATTCATCAATCACAACACCCGAATCATCATCATCATAAACCCCTCGTTGCGGGTACAACCACCCAACGTCACTGAGAATCTGCTCCAGCCTCGTCGCCTGCTCGTCTTTATACGCCAATCTTCTGCCTGACTCAAGCAAGTAATTCAACTCGTCCCGCAACCTGTAGGGCGACGTCTCGATATCCCAAACCCATTCTTCAAAGTCTCGCCTCGGTTCTGTGAACATTGGCTCCCAAGGCTGTATCCGCTTGTAGACAGCAGGGGCTAGCGGCAGGTAAGGACTCCAAGCCCGACGTCGGAATTCCAGGTACCCGAAAGCATGGAGTACAGCGAGCGAAAGAGTTGTGTCTTCCGAGCCTGGTTCGACTTGGAAATGCGAGATGAGAGCTTCCTCTACTGGGCGAGGACAATCTGCGACGATAAAATCGTTCTCCAACAGGTCCATGATCTGATTAACTGGCTCAGAGTTGAGGTCAATAATGCTGCGGTCTTTGATGACGGGGACATCAACCAACTCGTGCTGTCTCCTCGCCTCGTCGACGCACTTCATGCCAACCCTGAGACCACAAAGCCGGCAAAACGAAACTTGTTCCTGCTCGTCTTCGTCGCAGAGATCGCAGTTGGCCATGCAGAACACCGTCTCGAGGCACTTTCCGTCCTCTCTTGTGACCCATACATCGACTATCAAAGCCTGGAACAAACGAATGGCTTCCTCGTCATATTCCCGTCTCTCGAGGAGAATGATGGCGATGTCTCGCATGAGATGCTTATGCTGGGCAAATGTCCGAGTTTCGACGGCTGTCAGTTCCGCGATGTAGCGCTTCAAGTAAACGTCAATGACTTTTATCGCCTCGCTGCTCAGACCCTTGTGCGGCATATCGATCGCCATGTCCAGAGGCGTATGCATATCGCTGTCCTTAACATTAAGCATCCGTTGAAAATGGTCGACGCCAGTCTCGGCTTTCAACTTCTCGCACGCAGAGTACACTAGCGTGGCCATTTCGGAAGCTTGTTGATGGTGATATGATCCGTCAATATGCAGCACATTGTCGCCGTAATAGTCAACGTTCTCGATAAAGGACGCTAGCTGAGGATGTTCGAGCAGCACCTCAACCACCTTGACACACTCGTACAAGGAGGCGACCCGCAGCGCCGACCTCCATGTAGTGGAAGTGCCTCCGGGCCACTTCTGCCCCTTTGCCGGATCCGCGCCCTTGTCGAGCAAAAGCCGGACGGTCGGGATATCTCCGGCCCTGCAAGCCTCTCCGAGTACCGTGAAGCCGGTTGAGCTGACGACATCATCAATGCCGAGGCCATGCTGAAGCAACAGATCAAGGATCTTGTAAGCCGCGCCGTTGTCCTCGGAAACTGTGCTACAGACACATGATGCTCCCATTGAGCATCGTGCTGTGATGTCGGCGCCTTTTGTCAGAAGAAACTGGACCAGTTGGAGGTTCCCATCTTCGCAGGCTACCATAAGCGGAGTTTTGCCGTCGTAAGAGGGGAGCTCCAGTGCCTCTGGCGACATTTCGTAGAGCAATTGCGCAATTTCTAGCCTTCCTGATTCGCAGGCTAACCAAAGCGGTGTTTCCTGCCAATGGCATGAGGCCAGGCTGGATTGAGCACCCGCATCGAGGAGATATCGCAGAATCTCAATGTGTCCGTCTCTGGCAGCGATGTGAAGAGGTGTCTCGTAGACTAGTCCTTCTTCGCACTGGTAGGTCACCAGGGCTGGCTCGTGTTCGATAAGAACTTTGGCAGTCTCAATGTTGTTTTCTTCCACAGCCCGATGGAGGGGAGTGGTGAAGCACCCGGGGATGTAGGACAAGAAACGTTTCGTGTCAGCACCGTGGGCGAGAAGCAACCGCGTGACCTCCGGCTTCATATCGCTCGCCTCGATGAGGATATGCTGGAAGTCTGGGTTGTCCGGGACGTAATTGATGCTTGGTGGCAAAGGGTTCTCGAGTAAAACTTTGATCATACCCATAGCAATGTCTTCGTCGTCAAGCATGGCGGCGTCGAGGGGGCCTGGCATTCCGTAGGCCTCCTCTAGGGTCGGGTCCGCTCCGTGCCGCAGGAGGAGTTCTACCATGTTTTGGTCCTTGTAGTCTACAGCCACCATTAACGGGGACTTGGCGTACTTCTTCGACTTCCAATTCAACGTGTTGATGGGCGATTGATAGGCGAGGAGCAGCTCGACTATGTCGGTGTTGCCCGTGCTGATATCAACCTCGCTTTCCTCCACACTAGAATTTCCCCAGTTAGCTTGCTGTTGGAGTAATGATATAGGTTTAACAAGAAAGCAATGTGCGAACCATCGAGAGGGATCAGAAACCAACGTGCCTTTCTTTGTTTTTTGTCGTCCTCGCCATTTCAACCGCTATCAAAAGGGGCGTCTCATCAAGCGATGCAGGGTGACGACATGGACTTGCCCCTGCTTCCAATAGTAGCTCTACCGCCTTGAAGTTATCGTCAACGATGGCAAAGCTTAGCGCAGTCCGACGGATAAACTTCTTTCGATCGCCTGAAATACCGTTGGAGAGAAGCTCTAGGTCGACATCAGGTCGTCTCAGAAGATGCGGTAGCCAATCGTTGCACAGCGGGCCTGTCAACAGATGAATCGCAGCGTATCCCATGCCATCTAGCTGATTGATATCTTCAACTCTATCCAA